AATGTTATTTCAAACATGGATAATGTTGTCGAGCAAAATATTATACTATTTATTGATGGTTAAAATGAGCATAATTGATCGCCTATTATGCATGAAATTACAATAATTTATGGAATGGAAATTTCTTAATACACCCGTATACCTTCTTAGAGGTCCTTGGCGAAATTCCCATAATAGCTCTTGAATTCGGATATTGCATATCCGAACTCACCACGTTACATATTAGAGGTGTTGATTCGGATATGCATGTCTGAAATAAATTTTTATTCAATATTAGAGGTGTTTCAGATATGCATATCTGAATCAACCTCATAATTTAAGTACGTGGGATTTTCGGAGATGCATATCCCAAATGTGTTAAATATATACAAAGTTTGGAAACAGAACATGTTTTTCCCATTATTCTCTATATTCCAACTCTCTCTATTCCAACTCTCTCTACACAAACACTCTCTTTTGCAATCTTTGAGCAACACTTTCAACTCAATTCAATATCGAAGTATATTTTCAAGAAGTAACTTACATTTTCAACTCATTTCAACAATACTTTAAAGCTCTAAATTTGAGTAAGTTTATCTGAATCCATTGTTCTACTTTACAAATACAAAATATGTTATTTAGGCTCCGTTTGGTAAAACTAGCTGGTAGCAATTAGCTGATAGCTGGTGATTGATAGTTGATAAGCTAACATTAGTGTTTGGTAAGTTAGTTGTTTCATTAGTTGATAAGTACAAAATGACATAAAAGGTCATTTTAATTAATAGGGGTAGTAACATATTTCTGTTAAAATAATATAGGGTATAAATGAAAGAAAAAATCACAAGCTAAAAGCTACAAGCTCAAAAGCTACTTTAAATAGCTTTTGAAAAAAAGCTAGTAAAAAAGCTACAAGTTAAAAAGTTAAAATTGAGTTACCAAATAGAATTCTTTTCATTAATGTGAGCTAAAAAGCTAAAAGCTAAAAGCTATTTTTTTAGTCTAACCAAATTCACTCTTAGAATCATGTAAATTAAATTGGTTGAAGTATAACTTGTGAAATATGGTTGTTTGAGTGTGAAAGGGGAGTTTTTGGGTGATTTAGAGCAAGAAACCTCAATTACTCGAAAATGGCAGTCGCATGTTGTTTTGGATGTGCATATATATCTGAAAATTCCTCTGAGCATTTTTGGATATGCTCATCCGAAAATAAGTCTGGGTTGTTTTTTTAAATTATTTCACACTTGTTCCTTCCCTTTGAGTAATGATATTTTTCTTCAGGAAAATGACTGAGAACCCAAACCACTAATTGAAACTTGACAGGCCAAGCCAGACTGCCTCTACTCGGCATGAGAGAGTTGAGCAGACAAATAGAAGTCAAAGACGGGGGAGGAAGTGGTGGGAGCATCCACTTCTACTCTGAGGATTATCTTGTCTCATGCATCCTCGTCTCGGGTTAATGAGCAGGAACTCGAAGAGATTGATGTTTGGGCACAGGAATCCGAGGAGGTTGCCCATGGTACACCTATTTCACTTCTACATGCAACAATGGGTCAGGAAAACCAGGGATATCCTGAAGGACCCTCTAACACCTCCCTCTTGATCTATTATAATGATCATGCCGCTCGACATGTTTAGGATGGAGAGATATATTTTTTATTTAATTTTTTTATTTAAATAATTTACGCACAAATGTGTTAATGACTAACATTGAGAATAATATTTATTTTTACAGGAACGACCCATAAAGTCCGTGAACCACACGCGGAAAACATTTGATCTACATCCTCCTATTGAGGATTGGTTCAAAGAGGTCATTCTTGGCTCCAGACTTGCCGGACTTTGTTGTTCCGATTACGTTACTATTAGCTACGGCATGCAAGGGCCATTTGCCGAGAGATGACACAAGGAGACCTTATCTTTCCTTCTTTTTTTGGGAGATTAAGATCAAACTTGACGACGTTGCATGCCTGCTACACCTTCCCATCAGAGGGAGGTTACCTTAACCACACCCAAATTACTCGTGGTGAAGTGATTGAATGAATGGTCGAGTATCTGAGAGCTCAATCGAAAAAGGCAGAGGAATAATGTTCCTCAACTAATGGGGCACATGTCAAGTTCTCATTCCTGGGCGACCTATATGAAGAGCACATAGTTGCGACAACATCTTCTGAGAGCGATGGTGATGAGTTCTTTGTTCAGTACCACCGCGAGTGTGCTTTACGATGTTACTTCATGTTCTTGGTTGGCACGTCCATTTTTGTGGGCAAAAGTGCAACCTACGTGGATGTGACATATCTTTAGTACTTTATGGATTTGGATACAGTTAGGGAGTAAAACTAGAGGGCTTCCTATTTGGTATACATATACCAAATGTTGAATTAAGCTTTTAAATGGAGGATGAGACAGTTGACATGCTCTTGCACACTACTCACGATACCTTTCACTCCAACTATTAAATTTAATTTGTTATTAATAATTTGTTCTTACATATCTCTTATTCGTTTTTTAGGGATGGATAATTTCTCATTTCCACCGCATTTATAGTTTCAATTTTGATCTGCAGTATAGTGAGGAGATGTCGATGGCTGCCATGTATATCCTCCAAGAGGGAATCATGTTGTGCCATCGCTCCAGGTGTATCTTGATCAGACTCTTCATGATGACATCCTCTGGATGTCATTTAAGGATCACAGGGAGATTGTCCCCTTCGACTCCATCTCATTATACTCACATTTGGGACCAACACTATGGTCAAGTATCTTCCGGAGTGATGCATTCGACAGCTTGACTATGTGGAGACCATACCAGATCTCCCTTTCAGACTACTCCTGACACTATTGTCCGTCGAGAACTCGATGGCATCTTTAAAGATTGGGAGAATCATATGGTGCCAGAGGAGTGTCGGATGATACGGACATCCAGCAATTAACATTATATAGAGAGATACGTGACATGGTTCTACACAATGTCACACCCTATTATGACACCAGATGCTCCTGAACGTCTACCTCTCCCAGCTCATGAGGAGATCTTAGAAAACCAACAGGCCCAGGATAACCATGCAACTGATATCTTGCTGATTTGTCAGCGGATATAGTTGATTAGACATGAGGCTTTGGACTTAGAGATCATTGAGAGGTGCGATCTTGAGGCGATGGTAATCGTATATAGGATGGTTAGAGAGGCATCGAGTGCAACGAGTTACAAGAGGCAAAGGAGGGGCCATGAGATTAAAATTAGGCATACGCAGTAGACTATGCCTTTTTTTATTTTACCGATGTATTCATTTTACATTCAGTATTTTCTGAGTAACTTATGTACTAATTTACTATATTTATGAATAATTTATGTTCGTATCATTTTCGGTTTTTGGTATTTCTATATTATTTAAACGAATTACGTATCAAATCTTGTGTTTATTAGGTGCCGAAATTGATGTCTTATAAAAAACTATGTTGCAAACCCATTATGCCTGGGGTTTCGGAGATGCATATCCGAACGAACCCTTAAATCAATTTTCAAGGTGTTTTAGATATGTATATCCGAAAATATCACTGAATGTTGTTCAAATAATAATAACGTGTAAACAAGAGATTTTCGAATATACATCTCCGAAACACCTTGAAAATTGATTTAAGGATTTATTCGAATATTACACATCTGAAGGGGACTTTAGAATTTTCAGATGTTTTTTTCTCCGTATAATGGGATACTTGAATGTTAAGTCTAATATGAAAGGAAACATTTGGAACTTTTTTTACTAGCCATGTTGAAATGATTAGTTATTAATTGAATGTCTTTTCCACTCAAAATCTTTCTCTTTTCATCATGGACAAACAATCTTGTTTTGTTGTTAATTCAGTTTTATTGTTAATTCAATTATTTGTTCTCTATTAATGATGCAGTCGGAAGTTCTAGGGAATAGCAAACGCTAAACCTAGAAAAGGAAAACAAGATTGCAAGCGTAAAACCTGTCAAAGATAAACTGGAATTCACCGGAACAAAGAAAAGTTTAAATTTTATTATATAAAAGATAACCCTTATGGTCATGCCAAAGGCCTTTAAATACATAAAACAAAATAATCCTAATGCAATAACCCTAATGGGTCTTATGGACCTTCAATCCAAAACATGATTAAATAAAATAAATAAAATAGAAATTACTTAAATATTAAAATAATATTGTTTAAATTTTAAAATGCTTTTTGACGCGCGATATCTTCTTCGATACGCCAAGACAACCCTCATACATCAGACTCATTCACTTCTGAAGAACTCAACCTCGAGTTCTCTTCTTTATAAAGAACTTCATCTGATTGCAATTTATTGTAAGTACCAATTGTAAATCTCTCTTTATGCAGAAACACTATCACATCTTCTCCCACATTAAAAACTTTGACGTCCATGTATTTATCTCGCATAGGTGAGAAATTGTTTGGTATCTCATATGCGGTCAAATCCTTGAAATCCTTTATGACCTCCAACACTTCATCTGAAATTGTTTTCTCTTTTACAATACTAATCACCTCTTTAGTCAATATTGGACATAAAAATTTGGCTTCTTTAATAGCCTTATCAAACTCCTTTTCACTTTGTGTCATCAACAAGAAATTAGATTTAATTTCTCTTGGATTCTTATCAAAGTGCAAAACAGGATCCATAGCAATTTTATGTGCGCCCCATGTAAACATCATCACTCTATCACTTCCTCGATAAGTGATATCATTATCAAATTGCCAAGGCCTACCAAGTAAAACATGACAAACATCTATATCAAGATTTTCATCTTTTACCTCACTAATTTGCAAATGTTCCACGTTTTCATCCATGTCATGATTTTCACCTTTGATTACAGGCATATCAAAAGTTAGTAGCTTTAAATTTTCACTTAAAAGACATTGCTCTTCAGATTTTAAAGCAACTGCAATTGTAAAAGAATTTTCACTCACTTTAATACCATAATAAATTGAGAAGAAATATCATTATCCTCGAGTTAATTTTTGTAATTGATTGTGAGACTCTCATTCCATAAATTCCCTTGTGCATGCATCTCCTTCATATTTACCAAATCCATCATCATCATAATTTACTTCAGTATTCTTTGCCGCCCTTTTGACAATTTCAGACCTTGTCTCTTTATGATGAATTGTCTCCAATTTCTTTAGTTCAGGAATATTACTCTCAGATTTGAAAGATATAGAGCTTTTCTGTAAGGTGTATAAGCTAGAAACTTTTACCTGAGAAAAAAATCAATGAAAGGAGATGACTTATGTAGATCTGATGCTTTCATTGTCCTTGTTTGATGCATCTTGGATGGTGGAATGAAAATTGGATTATCCGAAAGTTTGCCACCCTTAACATGTGATCCTCTTATGTCTCTTCGTTGATTCTCATTGTTGTTGGCGTTCTTCACCTTATTTGCTAAATTTGTCATCTGTTCAGTCAAAGCAATTAGAGTCGTGGTAAAAGCTGCGGTAATTTCCTCAAAATCTGCTTTGGTTGCCGGTTGATCCGCCATGATTGTCAAATTACAAAAAGAACAGGAGAAAACCTGCTCTGATACCAACTGATGCAGTCGGAAGCCCTAGAGAATAGCAAGCGCTAAACTTAGAAAAGGAAAACAGGATTGCAAGCGCAAAATCTGTCAAAGATAAACTGGAATCCACCATAACAAAGAAAAGTTTAAATTTTATTATATAAAAGATAACCCTTATGGTCATGTCAAAGGTCTTTAAATACATAAAACAAAATAATCCTATTGCAATAACCCTAATGGACCTTATGAGCCTTCAATCCAAAACCTAATTAAATAAAACATAATTAAATAAAACAAATAAAATAGAAATTACTTAAATATTAAAATAATATTGTTTAAATTTTAAAATACTTTCTGACACACGATATATTCTTCGATACGCCAAGACAATCCTCTTGCATCGATTAAAGATAACCATGACTTATTGTGTATGAGATGGTTTAATATTCTATTTTTACTTTTGAGAAACCTAAATCATTAATTAATCTAATGGTAAATATTTTCTACTTCATTCATGAAGATAATTAAACCCTACATTAATAAAAATCAATAACTTAATAATTTTCTTAAAAACCCATACAAAATTCAAATAGGACAATTTTTATAAAATTGTGGAAGTACTAGTAGCATTTTTCTACAAGTATTTACTCCAAAATTAATGGTCTTTCATCTTTTTCGGTTTCATGAATTGTAATTTTCAAAGGGCTGATAAAAATTTGTTGTTCATATTTTCTCATGTATCATAGTTTGTTCTTTGCAGTTCAACCTTTCTTTTTTACTTTCGATAAAATTTATCTGCTTATCTGATGTTCTTATGTTACTTGGCGCTGCTTATCTCAATTTGTATACTGTCACTCATCATTGTTTCCTATCAATGCCCTGTTGCCTAAATACCTATTATATCAAGAACCTTGTTTAATGTCCATAATTTGTGGTGAACTAAACATCCTTATAATTATAAGCCTCGATATTTGAAGATCTGAAACATGTTTCCTTCATAAATTGATAAAATAGTATAATTCTTATGGAACTGGTCCAATAAAGTTCCAGTTAAACAATGATAGAATGTTTGAGTATATAGAAGAAACATCTAAAAAAACTGGTTTGAAGTAAACTCAACAAAGCCAACTAAGTGACATACCTGAAAGATGAATGTGTAGTTGCCAAAATAGATTAATAAATGGATCAAAATTTCAAACCTGCTACCTGGATACTGATGGAACATTCGAAAGGTCTATATATAGTTCATGTATAACTTTCCATTTTCTGATTACAAATCATTTCCAAGTACAAAGGAAGCATTAGATGCTTATATGCAAAGTATTTCAACAAAACTAGACTTAAGACAAGACGTGACTCTCAAAAGTGTATAATTTGGGAAGCTCAAAAACACAAGGACCCCCCAACATAACTCCTTGTCCAACAAATTAGTAATTCACATACCTAGTCAGCGCCATCATAGTCAAAATTCTTGGCAATTAGATGCAGCTCTTTCTTCCAACAATGCCAAGATGAGATTCTTGAATGACATTCCTATCAGTTTAATATACCAAAGTAGTGTAATCTTGCTCTGGTCGAGAAAGCCCAGGCAGCATTTTTTCTAGCTTGCATAAATCATATCCGCAGTCATGATATTTTCAGCATCTTAATGCTAGACATGGTAATTCATTCCTACCTTAATCAGACAAGTCTGGGGAATATTTAGTCCAACAGCAGGGGAGCGGCAGTTTTTCCGAAGAAAAGAGTAGAGGTTTATAGCAAACTTCTTCATAAAGGAAGAATTCCACTTGGCCTTTACATGAGAATGGCCTATTACATATGCTGCTCCTGCGCGGTTGGCTTCCACAAGTTCCATGAGCTCCTCCTTTACTAGTGGATCTCTATATATTGTATTTAGAAGCTCAAATTTAATCCGCCGTCTAGTGTTGAGTTCAAGTGATTCCTGCTCATACATGGCATGCAGCTTCTTCAATGTCGGAGATTTACTGCTAGTAACAGTCAAAGCTCCGGGAAGATTATTACTGTCGCCTTCTTCCACACCAGCAGATTCTGACATTCGCAATCTTGTTCCAAACTTCCCAGACGTCCTAACGACTGCCATTCGGCCATCTGCAGTACCATCTAGGTTTCCAGAGCAACCTTCAGCTTCCAGTTGAATGAATTCTGCTATGCTCATCACCAGTTCATTTTCAAAATCATTTTCATGGCTATAAACATCTTTGTAACCATGTCGAACAATGCACCGATACAACCGATAGGATTTCGGACCAATTCGACCAATGAGATAACGTTCTGCATGGGGCACAGAAGGCACAAGGACAGTCTTAACACAAACAAAAACAACAACTTGGTAGAAAGCTGGCAGATTTGTCAAGAAATGAGTGAAACTGGCAGGGACTCCAGACGCTAATTCAGTATAGATAAGGCCCATCCCAGGAACCCTTACAATCCCAAGACTAGGACCCAATGCAAGGACCCCCCTCATTGAAACTTTGTTATGCATATCAAAGAAATACTTTTTTCTAGAACCATAATGCCACACATACATAACAACCATGAAGAGGGAGGAGAGCACAATTGGAACCCAGCCACCTATTGGGATTTTCACACAATAAGAGGAGAGAAAGAGGACTTCTATTGAACCAAAGAATAAGAGAAATGCCATAGCAACTATGAGACTTTGATGCCATACAAGGTTGATGACGAGTAATGTCAAACATGTAGTCACAAATGACACAATCAGACATGCAATCCCTGCAATTAAGATGATGGCATTAGCAATCATCAGCTGAAATACAGAAGTGAATGATACAGTTATCCAGAAATTAAAAGAAAAGAAATCTATCACAATTATCGGACCTTCTACGTTACATAATAAGCCATTTTAACACAATTTAATTTCCATCCCCTGTAAGTGTATCTTTACACTAGCAGGGGTACATCCAATAATATGCTGCCACGTGGTTCAAAGAATTTGAAATCATTAGACACTTTTTATCAGTCAACTCTTTTAATGATGTGTTAACATGTCATAGATGATAATGTAAGAAAGTCTTACCTGGATAGCAAATCAAAATTAAGGCATTATGCTTATTCTGACTTCTACCGACTTTTTTACGATTTCTATATAGTTGGCATGATATGGTTCACTGAGTATGTTAAACTAATATCAGTGGATTGAGAATCATATTTCAAAACCACGTAATACATAAGAGAATGCAGTTCTGTCTTAAAAAATTACTGAAAAAAATAGAATTAAATAGCCAAAAGGATAAAAACAAAAGTATGAAGACCCATGAACTCTTAAATAGGGAATTTAAATACCATATTAACACAGCTTACCATAAGCATATACTATACGGCCTGTGTCTCCAAATCCAACTGTCACAGCCAGGCTGATTACCATAAGAATCCAGTTTATCTCTGGTATATACGTCTGACCGTTGATCCATCTTCTGGATTGTATTGCCTTAACACGAGGGAAACATTCAAATGCATGGCATTGTTGGACAATTGAGTATGTCGAAGAGATGACAGCCTGACTTGCAACTATTGCAGCCAAAGCAGCCAACGCAAATACTGGCCAAAAGAGGACATCTACAAAATGACAAAAACATCACTACATTCTCATTGAAAACATATTGCAAGACGTCGCAGTCAGCTCAACTATTTTGCTTTATGTGCTAGAGTAAAACTTCTTGGATACTAGTATGCTAACAGGTTATATTATTCCACTGATACCATATATCATATACCAGCATCAAAAATTGACAGGTTAGTGAGAGGAGTAAATTAAACTAGCAACTAATACAATTTGTAATTGTCTTAGAATTTGGACGGACCTAACTCATCTCTACAAAACCGGATTATACAATTTGTAAGTAGTCTTAGAATTTGGATTGGACGTAACTCATCTCTACAAAACCAGCAAAACCAGCTTATAAGGTGAGGATTACCCCCACATATAAACATAACACATGTTTTATCTCTAAGCAATGTGGTGCTAAATTCATCCCTTCAAATCCAACACAATGAAAGTGTTGGAGGCCGCAACGAATGCAAGCTAAATGCCGTAATTTAGGCGACTAGGGGCGGACCTCAATGAAGGCGGAGAATAATAATTGAGCAGTTATATTTTATTATTCTCATTGTACTTTTCAGGATCTTACAACGGAGAATACAATTGAAATTGCTAAGGAACACGGAGGGTTATACTATCTCTTTAATGCACAAACTGATCAAAGGTGTTGTCTTTTACACTTCATTTTCAGTCAGAGTCTACTTCTGCCTCCTAAATACGACTCCAGCACAAGCATCTTGGTCATCATTCTTTTCCATTAAGGAAGTGTATGTTTTCATCCCTAATTTTAAAACAATTTATTGAGTCTTTTAAATATGACACTTTTCAGTTTGCTAAACATAACCAAACTACTTTTCCTTTGTGAGCTAGTGCCCCCACTAGCTTTTATACTATTTTTATATAAATATTATTTATATGGATATGAATGCTATGTATTCATTCAAATTAAGTTTGAAGATTTTATATATTCTTGGCAACAACGTAAGTCTTAGTTGCATCATTCTAAACATCTTCCTTAATATTGGTTTTATATATTTTTAATTATATGATTATAATATACTATTATATTATAGTAATATTTAAAAGTTCACAAGATTATCAATCTTTCCATAAAATTAATAACATTTAATAAATATTTTTTATATTTATTATATGCTTATCTGGTATTAAAAGTGCAATTGTTGAGAGGTTATTTAACATATCATAAAGAATTTAGTATGAATTTTTTACTCATAAGAATTGTTTTATTATTTTTTCGAGCTCTCAAAAATTATTTTATTTTAAAAGATTCATGTAATATTTATTCATTTTTTACTAAAATATTTTTTGTTTATTAAATTCATTCTCTCTTACCATTAAAACCAACTCAATTAATTTTAATTTTAAGAATTAGACATAATTCAAACATAATATTTAATTTAAAATACATAAATTATTCATATATATTGCCCCCGCTAACAAAAGTTCTTGGCTGTCCCTGACTAAAAGTGTTAAACCATTTAATCTTTCATTCTGATGTTTGGGGACTAGCTCTTGTTTCTAACATTTCAGGTGCAAGATGGTTTGTTTTTTTATTGATGATTGTTCCAGGGTAACTTCGATTTTCTTGATGAATAATAAATCAAAAGTACTACAATTGTTTATTCAATTTTATAATATGGTACAAACACAATTTGAAAAAGGTATTAAAAGAATACGTTTAATAGTGGTAAAGAATATATCAATCATAATTTTTCCAGCTTTACCAATAAACATGGCATCATCCATGATTCACATGGGTTGCACCCTACAACAAAATATGGTGTCGCGGAAAGAAAAAAAACGTTACCTATTTGAAGTGGCCGAGCTCTTCTCTTCCAAATGTCTCCAAAATTAATATTGAGGTAAAGTAGATTTGACAATTGCTTATCTAATTAATCATGTGTCATCTTGTATTATAGGTAATGTTAATCATGTTCAGTTTATAATCTCACTTTTTCCTTCTGCTCTAAAAAGTTGGGTCTCAAATCTCAAGTATTTAGCTTTAGTCCATGTCCATAAGCAACACCGAACTAAGTTGGATTATCGTGCACTGAGATGTGTCTTTGTAGGTTATCCTCATAACATAAGAGAGAACAAATGTAATCATCCTCTCAGTTGTAAGTACTTTGTTTCTACAATATCTCAAAGTTACTCCAAGGAATGGACTCGTGTTTAAAAGAGGTAGAAAGTCTAACTATGAAGGCTTACATTAATGTTGATTACAAGTCCAGTGATTAGTAGAATATCTACTTCACGCTATTGTACCTCCTTGTGTAGAAACCTAATTGCTTGAAGGAGTAAGAAGCAAAAGACATAGTTGTTCAATCAAGTGCTGAAGCATAGTTCAGGGCGCATTAGAAATTCGTGAAGTATTATGGATGAAACAAGGGCTAGAAGATTTTAAGATACTGTGTGAAAATCCTATGAAGTTGTTTTGTGACACTAAATCGGCCATCAGTATTGCACATAATCCTATTCAGTCTAATCCATAGATCATTACAACAATATTAAACCTTAACCAATAACTGATAAACAACAATTCTTCAAAACAGGACTTTCTTATATAATTATAATAAATAATTGAATTGTAAGAATATGTAGGATAAATTAACTTAATGTTAAGGGTATAAGAACACCAAAAAGTTATTGCTCAGTAAAAAAATATGTAGTAATAGTAATCGAACCATCCCAAATATAACTCACCACTGGAATAATCTTATTAAGATAGTAAGCTCAAAAGTTTAAATTTTCTATCAAATCTAGGCCACATAAATTGGCTGAGCATTGCCAGAACTTGAATGTAATAGGGTTTGATACAGGCATCAGTTCATAATAATCAAATGGGATACAGTGAGTCGAAAGCTAATACTTCAAATTCACATACAACATTGTTCCGTTTCTTCCAGAAATCAACAACATGGCCTATCAGAAATTTATTCTTAGAATTTACATTAGCTGACCTGGAATAGAAGCATAAAAGCTTATAGGGACTGC